GTCAGGGAGGGAGTTGTCTGCATCCTAAATACGATCCAGAGCATTTACATATCGGGCTTTTACTGTTTGGCTTCTTGCGGAGTAGACCTTCCACACTTTCACGCTCTTCCGCGGTCATTCTATCGGGGACTACAACGCTGTTCTTCAGACGGGAAAGAACGAACAAAAAAAGCCTCCGTTGGGGTCGTCGGCTCGTCTTTTGCGTCGCTGGCCGCGTGAAAACCTGAAGAGGCGCACTGCGACAAATGATGTCCCCATTAGGTTCACTGCATTAAGGCTCTCGAAGCAATTATACTCTATCCACATTCTATCCGTTCAATGACGTGGTACTGTTAACCGCAACCGTAACCCTGTCAAACTTTCCCTGCCGGATCTCGTTTTGATCAGTGAGGAACTTATGATTGAATCCAACATTCACCAAACGTCCATTGAACGCATCGACCATATCCTAGATTTCCACTATGTGACCGTTACAAATAGGAGTGTTGCTCTGTGACCCCCACCAAGAAAACTGTCTTGTTACTTGTACAAACCCACCGACACGATTATTGGACCGAAAAACTGCATCAAAAGCAGAACGGGGAAACGGATGTTGGAATAAGGCTGAGTCTGGGACAATACAGGTCGTTCTCCGAGCCAAGCTAAAACTGTAACATCACCGTAAGAAACCACTATCGTCCGTGGAGATTAACGAACATGGATGGAACCTCATCGTTTGATTGACAGATCATCCAAAGGTCCTTTACGAACATATCGATAAATTGCACAGGATAACCCCGGAAAGTGTCGTAAGAAAAAGTTGACAGTTTAACTCAGACCCGAAAGACGCGGTCAACGCCGTTTCCATCCATGTAATCAGGTCTTTCGCTAGCACGCTGATGCATGTCATTGCTGCCCTGTACGGTGTGAGGACGGCCTCCAGCACAGTCTTCACCACGTCAGCTATGGAGCGCGAGCTCGAGCATCAGCCCAAATATTCTCTTTTCCCGAAGTTAACTATCACAAAGAGACTGGGCCCTAACTCGGTGCAACGGCCTGTTCACCTTCATAACCCATCGAACAATACTGGGGAACGTGTGCGTGACACTCATGGCGCCTCATTCCAGATTGGTCAATGACTGACGGTTGAGTGACAGGTTGGTCTGACTGGTTAAAAGTTGGGGTTGTGAAATATGTGGCCACTTGTTCCGTAAAAATTTAGACTTCACTGTAAATCCCCGCTGCCTTGCGGTTACGATTTTCAGATAGAGGCTTTGGTTAAGGACGGCAATCATCCTTTTTGGGCCTGACCGCCATGGTGATTCTCCAGCCCACGCACAAACATAAATAGCACATTTACGGATAACTGCACGCCAAGTCGGCCGTCGCCTAGTGTCATCAGCATAGTCGCCTTCCTTGCTGCATACAGCAGTGCGGGCAAGCAAAAACAGACTACTCCTGGTATCCCATTTTTCTTCCAAATATTTCTCCTCCCCTCCTGATCTCGTTGTGGTCAATCTCTACGTGGGCCCATTAGGGACCAGCATCCGTTCGCTGCCATTAGCTGCAATATATACGGTTAACTCGGTCGCGGTTAACTCCGTCACGAAGAGACTAGTCCTTACGGTGGTGTCACGGTTTGCGCACCTCAGCGATCCATTGAGCTATACTGGAGAGTGTCCCGCGACACTCACAGAGTCTCTCATACCAGGTTGGTCAATGGTTAGAGGTCTGACGAACACAGTCTCCTGGCCCTCCAGGTTGGGGGTTGGAACATGTGGCGACTTGTTCCGTAGAAATGGTAATGCATTTGCATTTCCCGCCAAACACCGCTACCTTGCGGTTAGGCTTTTGAGCCAAAGGCTTTGGTTGAGGACACTAATCGTCCTTCTGTCTAGGTGTGGGCGCCCTGACAGTATCCCAGCCCTCGTACAACCATACGGCAGTGAAGCATCAGTACCAACACTGATGTTGCTGTCTTTGATGATCATGATGAAACGCGCCCAACCTACCCATATTTCGACAAATTGACAGCCAATAATTTTGTTGTGCAAAATTGGTTCTCTCCGCTAGGTAGCTTATGTTTGGTGCTTTCGTCGGGGAACTCGCTTAAGAATTTTCGGTGTCTTCGTTTTCGATATTTTTAAACCCAGGTCGCACGTTGGCCGGAATCCAACAGCATCCTATTGATAAGCCTTATTAGAAGTAAATGGTCTCATTTAGCTAATTCAGACTTTCGTGATTTGCCTAGCTACCACAGTAAGGATGGTTCCGCTTTGCAAATTTGCGGAAATACCAGCTACGGCACCTTGAATAGCGTATCCACTACCAAATGCCTCAGACTTGAATGGATACACCTACACTCCAGTAAACCCGTCGTGGTCATACATATGGATTTTCATGGAGCATCCATGTCCTCCCGTCCAAGTAGAATCCTTTTATCTAACAGACTTACTGTTCAAATAATCAGAACTGTAAACTACGTGATGGTATTAGTCCTTTTTTATGCATCTGATTGGCGATAAAAATATATTTGTTGTTGATTTCACAACCAGGGTTTTGGGATGCGCGCTAATGTAGTTCGCACAACTCTTATTACGACCATCTGTGAATTTTAGATATCCGCCTCTCTTGGCCTGGCATCCTCAGAAATAACAGGTGTCAACCAAATTCCAGGTGTACGATAAATATGTACAAACTACTGGAATTAAATAAAAATTATCCATAGATATCTCTTTAAATGTTACATAGGCATGTTTTGTACATTTCTTGCCAATTCATCAAGTTATTGCCTAAA